TAATAAAGGGTCTTTCCTAACACTCATGAATTCGGTAGAATTGCGCATGATCACCAACAGCCTGGAGACATCGCGCCTCAGCCGCGTCCTCTGTCTCTGTGGGCGCCCGCCCCAGGGCTCCCAATGTCGGCAATACTGGTGGGTTGAAACATTTGTCGTGGACCCAAGAAATGCTCATTCACGAAGCCGAGCAGAAAATCAACGTTGTGTCGCACCGCACCCTTCCTAGGAAAGTGGGGCTGTGGTATCACTTTAAACACCCTTCGTCTTGGCCCACAGAGAGCCCATTATGCGATATGGCTTCTTCTAAGAATTCCTCCGTTTGCAGGGTTTTATCGTCTGGGCTGGGGGCCATTCATGCCCCTTCCCAGAAAACGCAATCAAAACAGTCAAAGGAACGGTTCACGCGGTTCGACACAACAACTGGGCAAAAACAGTTTTCAGAAAAGCCAGTCCGTTTAAACACTCAAGCGCACCGCTTTCTACAACTCCTTAATTGAACGTGCGACAATAGTAAACCTTTTCTATAAAAAAACAAATATTTATCTTAAAGACCCCCCCCTTATTACCAGTTTACAGGTCACCGTTTAGAAGACATAAAAAAAACAAACGAATTAGAACAAAAATAAGTATAATGAATACAAAAATAGGAATCCGTTATAATAATTCCGTACATATTTATAGCGTGTTCATCCCAAACGATCACAGACCGATTTACACCGGCCGTGACCGACAGGCATGGCCGGGAACAGCGAACCAGCTCCACCAGCTCAATGAAGCAGGAAATCGAGGGAACCCCAGCAGGGGTAAACCCAAAGTGGACTCCCAGGTTACCACATGCCTGCTCTTACAAACAGTGCCAGGCGAGGGTTCATGTCCAGGCAGTCAGGACCTCAGTTTTAACAGCTGGTGTGGCACCTCCTCCTCCACCAGGGTCGCTCAGCCAGGCACCTCTGCCTTGGCTTGGAGGTTCTGACCCAGAGGCAAGAGCACTCCCTGCTGGTCACCCAGCTCCTGTGTCCATTTCCTTGCAGGACGCCCATCCTGGTACCGACAGCCATCCCTTATTCACCCCCAGAGATCCAACAAGATCAGGCTGCAGGGTGGTAATTCTGAGGGCAGCAACGCTACTGGAGCTTACAGTACATCACACCACAGTTTCCAGAACATGAACTACACAAACTGTGCAACAGTCAGCATCTGACCAGCCCATGAATCCCTTATACTGCATGTAATCCTTATCCAAAGTAAGGGCAAGAGAAAATGACTGGCCAACACTCCAAAAGTATTCGGCCCACGTAATGCTCGTCTCTTCGCCTGGTATATTTAAATAGCACCGAAACAGTTTCAAAAGAATGCTGCCGCCGTGAAATACCATGTGCCAGCTGAGGACACACCTGAGAGTCGAAACATGTAACAACCCTCAAACAAACAGCTGAAACTGGGCCTGAGAGAAGCTGCAAGAAGCAAACCCTGGACAGGTCACTGCTGGACGAGGGTTGTTGTGGATTTCCAGGCCGCATATATGGGGATTACAAGATGGTGGACCTAGTGTCCTTCACTGTCATGTGACTCATTGTTTTTAACTGACTGTGTCCACAGTTTCTATCAGACAAACAATCACATCACCAGTGGCCTTTCTGCTAAGCAATTCACCACCGGAGATGAATGTAAAATTTTGCATTTTCCCCTTCCTTGAAGATCTCGTATTTTAAGGAGGTGATATTTCTGCAGCAGAGCAGATTAAATGGAAGCAGGGAGAAAATGCGAAAACAGAGCACCATCTGGTGTGCTGGGCACTCGGCCCTCTGCACCAGGGGGTCAAACACACACGATCACTGGGCATGCTCATGTTTTAGCGCTCTCTATCACACGGCCACTCCCCCTGCTGCTGACCAGCCATTGTCCCCAGGGCAAAGGTGGAGAAGCTCTGGCAGTTTGAAGTGGCCCAGGTGGGGGAAGGGACATGAGGCTGCTAGTGCAGAGAAAACCCAAGAGATCCAGTGGTGTCCTGAACGCTTGTTTTTGATTCTTAAGAGGGGTTTAAAAGAGAAAAGGCAGTTAAACGACTCTATCCCATATATATATATATCGCCGCATGAGAAGCTACCTTTTCCTTCACAACAAAAATAATTGTGCTCATTAGTACTTTATAATAATAATAATAATTGCTTACACTTATATAGCGCTTTTCTGGTCACTCCACTCAAAGCGCTTTACAGGTAATGGGGACTCCCCTCCACCACCACCAATGTGCATTTATATTCTATGGTTTATATGCGATAGTCTGCATTGTCCATTTACTGGTCTTCTACTGGTGCTGTGTGGTGCTCCTGTGGAGCTGCCCAGAAGGAACACAGTGCTTCTGTAGCGATGAAGTTGTAAAGGCACGCTGAACCAGACCCCACTTCTCCTGCAGCTGTAAAGGAGGATTCTGCACGTCACCAGACCAACCAACATCACGTCATCTTACAACATAAAAAACACATCCTGTGTTACAAAGGATCTACGTAGCAGCACAAAATGTCTATTACATTTAGAACTCTCAATGCCTACAACCCGTCTGGTTATTTAAAGGTTTTGCATGAACTCCAAAACACGTATCCACATATTAACAGGCATGCAAACCAACTAGGACCCTCCTTTTCATTCACTCATGATCCTTCTTACTTCATTCATGCACACTAGAGCTCATGCCGGAGCTCTGTCCTGAGTGTTTCCCCATTTCAGTGGCTGGAGGAGGAGGTTCTGAGAGAGCTAACCAAACCAAAGCATCACAGGCTCTAGGGCAGACAGATAAAGTCAATCTGAACGGGACTTTTATTCAAAACAACAGATTTTACAATTTTAGCATGACACCAGACCTGGGGAGTCCACAGTAGCATGTGTAAATGATCATTTCAATCCTTCACGAACAGGATATCTCTTTTCTCAAATCCAGAAACAATGGGGCTAAATTAAACCCTTTCTTCTTTTCACAACGAAACAAGAGCTCTAAAGGAGTTCTACAATTCCAGTTATCCTGTTTACTGGCTTAGAAGAAACACTAACAATTTCTTCCAAAGGGATGCTCACGATATGCTGTACTGATTTATGTTCTGAGTATGCTCCATTTCCCTCACATCAAAACAGAATTATTTCCTCAAACACAGGTCTGTTTTTCATAGGACACCATGGTCTTACAGGAATTTGGGTTTCAACAAAACCATTAAGTTTACTCAGGAAACCTCAAAATCAGAAAATGAATTGCAGTGTATAACTTGTACTTGATATCAGCCTCTCTTTCTTGTAAAAAACAGAACAAACACATTTTGACCCGAAGGAACATAAGGACTTCTCAGAAACAACAATTATTACGTTGCCATTACAATACTGACGGTGCTGATCATACACACACTGGGAGAGGATCATGGGATTTGACAGCATACAAAACCCTGGATGATTTTTCAGTAAATTTTAACAAACAACCCTACAGATTGACCAGAAACATTACTACTTACAACTCATTGATTTTTTTCCCCAATTCCTAAGCGTTAGGATCCCAACCTTCAGAAAGTCAAACTAGAGAGTGTAATATAAATTGCCACTCTCTATGCAATGTTGTAAGCTTGTGCTGTCTCTAATAATGTTGTGTTTTTGCCTCATGAAACATATTTTCAGTTTAAATGAATTAAAAGCTTCAGTTATGACTCTTAAAGCTCTGTAAAGCTCTAGGATTTTTACAGAAGGCACCCTTTCATTAAAAAATGAGTCAATTAGTTCTGGAAAACACAAGTTTGCAGTTAAAACTGATTGAATATCAAACAATTCCAATAAGAAAAAAAGGTGTTTGCCAGTTATGTAACCATCAGAACCTGTTTTTGTTTCGGTACAAAAAACAAAAACATTTTTTGTTCTATCAAAGGACCGTGAAGTTGGTTCAAACAAAAAAAAAAAATCAAGCGACTAATTTGCTCTACCAAACAGGCACCAAAAAAAGCTGGAAAACAAGGTTTCAGTGCCATAACATGGAATAGTAAACGTTTCAAAACGTGCTTCTTCCAGGCATGTTTTCATTCTGAGCCAGTCCGGATTTGGTTGCGTTAACATGTATGTCACTGACGACTCAGATTTGAAGACATGATTCTGCTAGTATACAATGTACCGTGAACATACACCCTGCGCTGCTGCACAGGTCTGATTAATTTAGTGCCTTATTCTGAACAGTCGAGGGCTTAAAAGCGCAATATGACTTGCAATACGCGACTTCTGAGGTCGGAGCGCTCTGACACAAAGGTTTATTACCAATTAAGAGTTCAGCGCCTTGCTGTTATTTTTTAGAAACCACGCATTTTTAAAAACAGGGCTTGGACAGGTACTTGCGCTAACTGAAGTGACACAGCAACCCGACATTCAACACAGAAGAAACCATTAAACTGAATCGTTTCTACAAATTCTGGCTATAGCAAAAGCATATGAGAACATTAAAAAACATTCTAAACTTCATATTATGAACTGCCGGAATACTGCTGAAGTCCTCTGACGCACGGACACTCTTCACCGAAAGCCGCGTCTGTTAGGCATCTCTGAAGGAAGGCAGTGGCCACAGGAGAGTCAGACCACAGCCCCTGGTACAAGTAAACGGGGAGCCACACGTCTCATCGGAGGCCAAAGCTTTGGAAAGACTCACGTTCTGAGTAAACGACTCAAATCATTGCTGTGAAACGAATCGCGACCGTACGCCCTGAAGGCGAATTCTGTTCCAAATCCCAAATACGGCCAGTTCCGCTCCATCTTTGCCTCCAGTTACATTTATTGGAGCAGGGAGAGTCGCTGGCTTCTGTTCATTTTAATCTACTGACAGTACACACGGAAATACAAATGAGGTCCCTCGCCTCTTTCCTAACACCTCAGTTTGGTCTTTTGCAAGTGAAGCATCGCGTTGCGCCACGCTAACGGAAGAAAACACACACACACGGAAAGCCGCACAACTGGGGAAACGCGAACGCGCCGGGGCTCACCTCGTTGTCATGCTGCTGGCAAAAGCTCATCCTGTCCTGAAAGACCGGCAGCAGCGAGTAGCTGGAGTGGAAGGACTGGGAGATGGTGACGGGCGCGTTGGAGTTGTTGGTGCGGCTGGCCAGGTGCACGGTCTCCACCAGCCGCTCGATGAAGTGGTCTTTGGTCAAGCGGACCCGCTGGTGGGCCCGGACGCAGTTGTCGCAGAGGTACTCCTGGCAGTCCAGGCAGTGTGAGGTAGCAGGGTTGCCCTCGTCGCAGGAGCTGCACTGGGGCTCCCCAAGGTGGTGGGGCCGCATAAGGCCGTGGGAGTGGTTGTTGCTCCTGCAGCTGTGTTTGTTGTCCTCCGAGGAGACCACCACGTCCAACAGATTGCTGAACAGGAAGTTCGTCGACGGCAGCGCGTCCACCCCGGACTCGGAGATGGAGACCTTCTGGTCACACGTCGGGCACCGGAGCTTGGAGGGGTCGCCGGGGCTCCGCTGCCCTTCCAGGCACTGGCGACAGAAGGCATGGAGGCAGGGCAGGACGTGGAGCCTCCTGGAGGATGAGGTAGAAGAAGTGGAGGTCTGAGATGAGGAAGATGAGGTAGATGAGTTGGAGGAGATCGGAGCCGAGGAGCCGCACAGTTCCTTACACAAGGGACATGTCTGCAGATCGGAATCTGGAAATGAAGCCATTTGCAACACAGCCAATGTAAAGCAGGATCAAATTAAAACGTTACATTGAGGCGTGCGTGTGCCTCCCCCTCTGTTTGTAAACCTTGTTTCCTGTCGTTTAATCGTTTAACGTTCCAGGTTGTGTTTTAAAGCGAAAGACCCAGATTATACCATTGCGTATATACACACACGCGCGTTCAGCTTGCCTTTTACATATCTGAACCGTCTTTGGGAAATGTAATTGTCCAGGTAGGGTTTAAAAAAAAAACGACGCTTCTCCGATAACTTGTCTACGGTCGAATTCAATTCAAAACGGCGTGCGAATTACGGAAATCTCGAGCGAATTGTTAAAAATTAAAAGTAGCCTGCTCGTTTTGAATTAAGAGAAATTAGGTTAAAAAATCAGTTACTGTGTATTAGTCCCTCGCTTTGTTTTGTTTTTGTTTTCAGATCGCTAGATAGTGCAAATCCATGTTATTTATTGATCTGTTATCATTATATCGGTTTATTTTATAATCCTGCGAGATGCAGCGGCAACATTGTTGCGAAACACGAAATCCGTTGTGTGGTTCCTGCTCCGATCCTCCCCCGCCACCGCATGACGACAAGGTTACACACTCAATACGGTATCAATTTCTTAATCCACAACATATATTTCTTCGCAAGAAATTGTTTGTTGTTTTTTTCCCTGCCTAGTCCACCATCGGGTCCTCCTGCGCTGCGCCAAGTACGTTAAACAACAGTGAAGTCCGCCTAGGAGCAATTCAATAATTCATCAAAGCATTTAATCAGAAGTAACACGATCTTCTACAGTTTCTTCGTATCGATTTTCTTTTAATATGCCCAACTCTTCATTTCCATGTCGTCTTCCTTTTTTTTTCTTCTCACTCCATCGCCGGACCGAGGTCGGGATTGATTGAAGCAAACATGTAATTACAGAACAGCCCGTTCCTTCACCAAAATTGCACTGTATTTTTCCACTGGCTTTCCTGGAACACCCGAAGGAAAACGCACACGCCGATTCCCCCACCAGTGAGACGGTGTGATACAAGCCGCCGGGAGGGGGAAAAATTTCCTGAACCTTCTTCTTGCATAAATACGCTGTGGTACCATTAACGTGTGTGCAGTACGCTTAGGACGCGTGTTGTTGAAACTGACCAGAATCCCTTTAATCCCGAAAGGAGTGAACCCACTTCCGCTTGATCAGCGAGGGGCCGGCCAAGGCGAGGAGGAGCCTGGAGAGGCGGAGAAGCGCACACTCGCACAGCCCTCACGGGCAGATGAGTCCTCGGCAGAGCTAACTAACCAAGCGCACGATTAAACCCGACATACTTTGCATTCCTCCGAAGAAAAACCCAACACAAACACCTCAGCCAACCAGGCGCTGTGGGCGCAGTTTCGGGCAGCTGCCCCGGACCTGGAGTCGCTGCAGGATTGCAGCGAATGTGGTTGCCCTCTTTTTATTTAACGCCGTCGTATTCTGGCAACATTTCGAAGTCCCCCAGAAAAGCGCAGAAAGAAGAGGTTGCCAACATATTACAGGGCAAAAGACCGCTTAATTTAATCCTGATGGGTAATAATAAAAAATTACACTTCAGGTATTAAGTCTGCTGAAGGGGGCGGCACTCGCACGTGTTTACAGAGCGGTTTTATTGTGGCTCCACAGTTACTTTTGTTTAGAACCAATGTTATTACGCGCGATGCACGTATACAAGACACTAAAGAAACCAAGTTAGTTTAAACCCTCACATCAAATTATTATTATTATTTTTTAAAGGGTGGGATTGTGGTTGTTACTGGAAACAATCTGGACTGAGGAGCGCATTGATGCTGGCTTGTTTTGAAATCACAATTTTCAATAAAAATTCATATCATCTGCGACATTTGCGGAAATCTTTACAGAAGACATTTTGGTGCCACGGCATGACTTTCATTCGTGTCATTTGCTTTAAGTGTGCATGTGCACTATAATAAAGATAAATTGAAAATGATTCTGCTACTACAGATTTCCTGCCCGTGCTATTTCATGCCAGTAATTGGTCTTCGCCATTTACCTTCGGCGTCTCCAGTCACGCCCTCGGTGTATCCATTTCCTGCGGCCTCAGCTCCGGCCGTGACCTGATCGCGTCCGTGTAGGCCTGTCCCCCTCAGCCAGCCCTGTCTCGGAGCGACCCACGCAGGGCCGCTCGGTTCCTCTTCTCTTGTCCTGAGGAAGGGAGTCATCTCACTTGACCATTTTCGCATCTTAGCAGAGTAGTGAACACAGTCGATTTTTGTTTCTTGTGTGTCTCATGCATGAGGGAGAGCTCTTCAGCTACAGCCTCAGGCTACAGTCAGGGGAATGTTCTGATTAGTCAAATGTAAGAACACAACAAGGCTGGCGAGCTCAGGGAGTCCATTAAGCCCAAGCAGCTCGTTTGATTGCCAGTAACTAATTGAACCCAGGATCTCATTCCGACTTTTCTCAAAAAAAGGTGGGTATTGTCTTCAACAGTATGGCTGAGTAAATTGTTCCAGACTCCCAGAACTGTCTGTGTAAAGGTATGCCTTCGTTTCCCAGTTTTAAATTCCTGGGAATTCCGTAATCCTTGTGTCCTCTGGTTCGCATCTCACTGTTGAAGATGCGCAACTCTGTAGGAATGTCCTAGACAATGCTCGTGTCCGTTTTGACTGCTTGAATCCGATCCTTTCTTAGTCTTCTCTGTTAAAAATGTCTTGTTTTTTTACCCTTCAAAGTAGGGTGTTCCTTTGAGACTGGGAATCTCTTCTCTGGACTGATTCAGAAATGGCAATATCTTTCTTTTGAAAACAAGGAAGGGGCAGATTCCTGTGGTACCCCGTTCACCCCTTATCTACACTCTGTTTCTATCCATTAGCCAGCTCTTAATCCAAAGGTATGCATTTTTACAAATGTTTTCCATAAATCCTGTCTTATTCATTCATGATCTTCTTTCCTAAAATTATTTTAAAATATAATGAAAATTTCCCAAAAAGAACTTAAAGGAGAACTCATGTTAAAATACATGACTGAATTTCTTGATAGATTTACACTCTCAGTAATGCCTTTTAACATTTTGAATTACCAAACTTAATTTTGAGCTTTTTTAAGGACACAATACAGTGCTTGCATTCATATGAAAAGAGGTACAAAACTCCTGGTAAGACTCTCAAAAGACATATTAAAGATATTGTTAAAAATCATACATATTGCATCCTCTTAGTTTTTATGTTCCTGGAAAAAAACAAATCATGTACCTACTGTACATCAGGGTAGATTCCACAAATTCTGTCACTTTTTAACTTCAAATCTGAATTCAGACAAGGCATTGTAACAGTTTAATCTATTAGTGAATGTCAACAATTACTTTGTAACTACTGTGTATTTTTTAAGTCTATTTTCTTGCATGTTCACACTTTTTCAAAGTTCATTGATCAATTGAGACATGTGAGTCCCTGATGACTGTCTTTATTGGAATTTCAGTAAATACCCTGACCTAAGGCTAAGGAAAGGCCTTCTCAGCTTGTAAACTGAGCGCTTGCTACCATTTAAACCTTATACAGTAAAAGCCTTTTCAATAGTAGTACTGAAGATGGTTTTCTTTGCAAAGAAATGAGACAAATGTTGTCTGTATGTAGTAAAATATTTAGGATCCACGACACAGCTGACACGCTGTGAATTTTTCTAAAATATGATTATGAAATGAATAGAAAATTGACATTTTCCTTATGTACAATATTTCTAGGTTTGTTTCTGTTCATCTAATGGGAGGAATTTCACTCCTCAGCCTTTTTGAGGTAAAAAAGAACTTAAAAATGTTTCCAGAGTTCATATTGCATTAAGTGTTTCAAAATGCGGAATATTTTGTGTGCCTTTAATCATCGTTTTAATCATATGATATGAAGCTGTTTTATTTATCTGTCCAAATAAACAGTATGCAATAAAAAAAGATATTCAGCATTTGAAAAGTATTTCAAAATATTTTGTCACCATATTCAGTGATGTTAGGTTTATGAGAAGTTATATAGTAACATTTCAGTCTGAGGTAGCTGTGGTTTTGTTAATTATAGGTTAAATCATTGAATATGAAATACAGATCTAAACCTCTGAGCTCTAGCCACATGTATTAAGTGGTTTGGCAAAAGTACCTATTTTTTCTAGGAATATTCCATTCAATGTTTTATTTATGTATTTCTATTTTTCAACGGACTATTTGAACTTACTAATAGCTGCAACCAAAATGAAATGGATTAGAACAGAAAAACCTACATATGAGTGAAGAGATTTGAATGCCATTAATTTTCCAGGAGAAATTACTTACTGCTAAATTATACGGTTGTGCTGTGAAGCGTATCTGTCTTCAAGCTATAAAACTGAGATTAACTATGATACTCTAAGTGATCAATGCAATTGTGTTTTATGTGTTCTGAACCAAAGGTCTTACTATTTTCAAGAGTGTAAAATTGAAAGATGTGTAATTATTTATTCTGTAAATCGTCCATATACTGTGCAAAGTCAATTTCTTTCAAAATGTAATTGTTTTTTAATTCCTTTTATGTAAA